CAAAGTGGAATGTGATGGTCAAGAGTGTGGCGGAACTACCCAAGAGAATAAAGGAAGCTTTTGAGATCGCCACCTCGGGAAGACCTGGTCCCGTGCTTGTGGATTTGCCCAAAGATGTCACGGCTGGCATTCTACGGAGGCCCATACCGATGCAATCGACCTTGCCGTCACATCCTTCTGCAGCAACCCTCGCTGCCAGAGAGCTCTCCCGGAGACAGTTGGAGGGCACCATCTCGCGGGCAGCCGACCTTGTCAATATTGCCAAGAAACCAGTCATATATGCGGGCCAAGGTATCTTGGGATCTCCCGACGGTCCCAAGCTGCTGAGAGAACTGGCCGACAAGGCTTGTATCCCTGTAACGACAACCCTCCAAGGCCTTGGAGGCTTTGATGAGCTTGACCCCAAGTCTTTACATATGCTCGGTATGCACGGCGCCGCCTATGCCAACATGGCAATGCAAGAAGCCGACCTCATTATCGCTCTGGGAGCTCGCTTCGATGACCGAGTAACCCTCAACATCGCAAAGTTTGCGCCCGAAGCGAAGAGAGCTGCAGCAGAGAAACGAGGAGGTATTATACATTTTGAGATCATGCCCAAGAACATCAACAAGGTCGTCCAAGCGACTGAAGCTGTTGAGGGTGACGTGACGACTAACCTGGCCGAGCTGGTACCCAAAGTCAAGCCAGTGAAGGAACGGCCCGAGTGGTTTGCACAGATCAGCGACTGGAAAAAGCGATTCCCGTTGAACAGCTACGAAAAGGAGACGCCCGACGGCTTGATCAAGCCGCAAACATTGATTGAAAAGCTCTCAGATATGACGTCCCACATGAAAGAGAGGACCATTATCGCGACGGGTGTAGGGCAACATCAAATGTGGACCGCGCAGCATTTCCGATGGCGACATCCCCGGTCGATGGTCACATCGGGTGGCCTTGGAACGATGGGTTACGGTCTGCCAGCCGCCATTGGTGCTAAAGTTGCAGCACCGGACGCCCTCGTTGTCGACATTGATGGTGACGCCTCGTTCAACATGACCTTGACGGAACTCAGCACGGCCAACCAATTCCAGATCGGCGTCAAAGTGATCGTGTTGAACAACGAGGAACAAGGTATGGTGACTCAGTGGCAGAGTCTTTTCTACGAAGACCGGTTCGCACACACTCACCAAAAGAACCCCGATTTCGTCAAACTCGCAGACGCCATGGGTGTGCCGGCACGGAGGTGCTTGAAGCCCGCCGATGTGGAGGAAAGTCTGCGGTGGTTGATTGAAGGCAGCGGCCCAGGCCCGGCGCTCTTGGAGGTTGTTACCGACAAGAAAGTGCCCGTGCTGCCCATGGTGCCGGCAGGCAAAGCCCTGCATGAGTTTTTGGTTTACGATGAAGGTACGTTTTGCCGCGCTGACCGTATCACCGACCCATCCGTACACGGACATTTGAGCTAACTCTTTTTTTTTTCTCGGTACAGCGAAAGAAAAGGAGCGGAGAGCCATCATGAAGCAACGGTCTGGGCATTAAGTGCTTGCGTGCGAACAGACCAACGAGAGCGAGCTACAGTATATGAGTGCAAGTGCGAACTGAGTTGAGCGATGTGAGTGTGAATGTGAATGTGGGACCAGGACAGGACAGACAGCTCCCTGGTATGATATTTCCGGACGGGACCACCAAGGCAAAAGAAAAAAGTTTACTACCTCCTAAAACAAAGCAAAAACCAAAACCCAAATATGGAGTGGAGAGCTTGCCAACATGATACAAAGACGCATGGGGAAGATGTGAGGGAAAGATGGGACCCAAAAAATTACTTGAACCCCCGGTTACCACCCCGGTTAGCCACCCCCCCCCCCTTGGTTGACACCCGTGGGGGAATTGATTGATTTGTTTTTATATTCAGCGTTTGTTGTTTTGGATCAACCCCAAAAAATTCTGTATAGGCGAAAACATACGCTTTTTTTGTTCAACCTTCCACAACAGAACTCAACACAATACACGTCCATCCGGAGGTCTTTCCTCTCCTTTCCTTTTCTTGGAAATGAATAACAAAGGGGAGAAGAAAGGTCCTTCAAAAAACAAAAAACAGAAATTTTGGATGGAAATTTCTGGGAAATGTTGATTTGAATGATCAAACGCTGCTCTGCGTTAGGATTCTTTTTCTTTTTGGAATACGCTATGCTATGCTATGCCATGCCATGCTATACAATGCTGTGTTATCGTCTGACATAGCTATGTGCTATGCTATGTTCCTGCCGCCAGGTAGAATTGTCATGTAGGTCCCATGTATGGTGGTCTTCCAAAAGAGGAATCCGGGCGAGGATCTCGGGTAGCTCTGGCAGAGAAGTACTACCGACCTTTCTTTCGAGGGCCACGTACGAGGGGGCCATCTCCCGGGGAGCACTGTGTATGTCTGATCCTGATTCTGCTGGTGTAAATGGGCGACTGCCTGATAAAGGCGATTGAGTGGGTGACTGGCTGGGTGACTTGAGTGAACCGAGTGATTTGACACCAATTTGGCTTTCAAAGGGCTGGTCTCGTAATACATTGTTTCTCTCCTTTTCCCCCATTCCCTTCACCCCCTCTCTCGCGCTTCCTGTCGCGCACACACACACACACACAACATAGGGCGTGCCTGGAAAGGAAGTAATATCATGCATGCACGTATCAAACTTGTTCCACGTACCGGGGTATTGGACCGTTCGATTCGTTGACCGTCGAATATGTGGTGACCCGAGTAAAATCCCCTCAAGCGAAGAGAAGACAACGGGTGCCGAAGCGGGTAACAAGTAGGGCCATCGTCAATCACATGCTCGGGCAAAAGGGGTTCTTATTGTCTTGCGTTGTTAAAAACGGTGTGTTGCTCAGTCTTTGCTATTAGCGCTGCCGAGGGTTTTGAATGTTGGTGGACAAGAAGACAGACAGCCTTCCCATTCTTTATCGTTGGGTAGGCGATTGAGTCCGAGTCCGAGGCCTCGGACTCAACTGCTCCATGAAAATCTCATAACATAGCCAGCTCCTACCGCTGCTGTTGTACGATCTTCAACTTCTCCTCCACCAATCGGCCCACAATCTTCTCCAGCATGGCCGGGGCGCCGCCCTGTTCTCCGCCCGCAGCACCCTCGAGGTACCCGACGACGCTCTTCTCGACCAGCTTGCCGACAATGTCGATCTCGACGTTGACCTCGTCGCCGCGCTGCTTGGCCGCCATGACGACCCGCTCCTGCGTGTACGCGATCAACATGACCTCGAACCAACCGTCGGCGTCGTTGACTTTGGTAATGGTCAAACTCGCGCCGTCGAGGGTGATGTATCCCTTTTCCACAACGTAGCGCAGCACGGCGCGGTCGCGCGGGGCCAGGCGGAAGGTCAGGGCGTTGCCGTCGGGCGTCACGCTCGCGATCAACGCCACCGTGTCGACGTGGCCCTGCACGAAGTGGCCGCCCATGCGTGTGGCTGCGCTCACCGCCCGCTCCAGGTTGACTTTGCTCCCCTCCTTCAGCGAGCCCAGGTTGGTGCGCCGCAGCGTCTCGGGTGCCACCCCGACCTTGAACGAGCTGTACGGCGGCTGCGACGGCTCGAGCTCCGTCACCGTCAGGCACGTGCCATTGACGCAGATCGAGTCGCCCAGCGCCGCGTCCGTGAGGATGGTCGCGCAGTCCGAGATGGTCAGCGAGGTGCCGTTGCCGCCGGATGTCGAGGGGTCGAGTGCCACCAGCGCACTGACGGTGCCGAGCGTTTCGACGAGGCCAGTGAACATGATGAATATTTCTTCACTGGGGAGACGAGAGGGGAGAAGAGGAGAAGAGGAGAGGTAGGCAAGGTGCAAGGTATTCTTGTCTGACGACGGGGGGGTGTATGTGTGTGTGTGTGTGTGTACAGGGTATACAAATGCCCCCCTTTTTTTCTTTTTATACCTCGCGAGTAAGAGCGGTTTCGTGTACGAGGAGGAGAGATGAAAGGTGCGAATCTCTGTAGAGGACAAACCCCAATTGGTAAGCAGATGATGGGCAGCTACGCAGCTTGATGGATGCAAGGCGGAGGTCGATGATGCGAGATTTGACTATTATTTTTTGCTTCGCTTGCGTGCCCCGCGTTGCGGCATTATGTAGTTGTGCAGCCTCGGCCTCAGCGTCACCGCGCAGTACCAAGTAATAAAGTATGCACATAGTTACATTCAAGGACAATTATGTTGTGTCTATGACAAGGCTCAATGTGGAAAGGCCTCATGAGCTCTTGATGCGACAAGGTCTGTCTGTCTGTCTATCTGTCTATCTCGGTCTATAGAACAGGTCCAAAATCCCCGAGCTGCATGACGTGCTGGTGAGAGGGTATTTCCTATTCAATCTATACATCTATACATCCATCTATAGGTATTTGCCATCTGGGCGGGTATCTGAAGCTGGTTCCAATTCTCGACTTTTGGTGTATGTATTTCATTATTACCACCAGAAGTCAGTTCCTTCTTCCCCTTCCATCAATCTATCTATCCTGATCGTCTCTAGCGAGGGTCCCTGTTCCTTACATAATCGTGAGCTTCCGGTTAGGTGTGGGTGACTATGAAGGTAAAGATGCCGTCAGCATCGTTCCGCTCGGCTTTGATGCGGCGATTTCTCTGAATGCTTCGCAGGGTATGGTATGGGATGCGATTTAGAACGGGCTGCATGCCTTGTCTGATCGCTTCGCTCATCCTCCTTGCCCAGGAAATACTGTGCTCTTTCTGGGTACCTCCGGGTTGCCTAGAATGGCAAGCTCGACCGTCGAGTCCATCGTCGGCTATTCTCGTGCGTTGGTGCGACTCTCGACGGAAGATATTCTAGACCTTCATGACAATTTCGCTGCCGCGAAAGAAGCGCTTCATATCGTGTTATGTCTACCGGTCAAAGAGGAATGGTTGAATGTGTGTTCCGCATCTCGACTTTGCAGCCTTCGAACCTTCCACTCCCAAGGTCAACGCTGCAGGTCAACACTTCTTTGCAAGTTGGCGCCGCGATCCACTCGTCCCTCCTGTTGTTTCACCCGCTCTTCTTCCTGTTTGGTCGACAGCTCAGTGCAAGGTGGAGGAGACTATCACGGTCTATGTCGACACGAATAGTCAGCGCCTCGAGCCTTGAGGGAAAGAAAGCACCCAACTGACCACCTACCTTCTTGTTGTCTGAAATAGATTTCCGCCTTGTCCAGGTAGGGCAGACTTCGATCCCAGGAGAAACGTCTCGTTAGTGACTTTGTCGGACCCAGGGTTGAGTCCGAGTTCAGGGTCGACGTGGACGCTCTCCTCTGAAATTCCATCTCGTCGATTGGAGCATGGATACCGGTCAATAATAGCGTGGATTTGCGGCCGGTCCCTTTGCTCTCGATCTTGATGCTGTCTTGACACACTGGACCCTCTAGACGTCAGTAGCACGACCACCACCAAGTCCTGGGGAGATACCGACGGTTGAATTCCAGGTATTTCTTCCGCCGCTTCCCTTTTTCCTGGATTAAATGCACCATGAATCGCATCTCCGACTGCATCTCCCAGACCCGGACGTTCTCGAAGCCTACCAGGCGATCATCGTCTCTTCCTCGATGTGGCCGACAAATCTCAGTCACAGGTACCAGAAGTCGAAGAGTGGACCCATAGACAACCTGCTGGAACAGCTCGCAATCTATCCCAATAAGTCTTAAATCAGTTTCGTTTTACCCCGAAACTGGTTACGCGACAAAGGAACGACTAACCAGGTACACTCTTGAACTTGTACTGGACCCACGTAGTTGGAATCCTCGGATGATCCCGCCGCTGACCCTCTTCAATTGTGAAGAAGGTCAAACCCTCCCCTTGCTCGACGACAGCCGTAAGTTCGTCGCCGTTGATTGAGTATGGAATAATGTATTCCCAGGTGGGCACTAGAAGACGAAGATGGAGCTCTTGTTAGGTGTAAAGTGCTGACTGACGTTTTTCAGGGAGAAGAATGGAGTCGGACCTCGTTGCCTGAACCGTATCGTTCTCTTGTCGTTCACGGTCCAAATATCCTCCACGGCTGCCCCATTCTTAACGAGTAGCACTCTGCCCGAATCGCTGGCCTCTATCAAAACTCCATCTGAAGCTCCAGGCTTCCGCCAGACAAAGTGGACCGACTCGACGCGACTGTGAAGAGATCAGCAATGGCCCTTCCACATTACCGCAGTTCAAGGCTATAGGTACATTTCGGTGAAGCTAGTATGGGCAGTAAGATTTTCAACGAATTCCTTCTGTTCTTTGATGGACGCGAGCTTGACGTGGCGATACTGATCGCCAGGGGTGACGCCCACAAAACTTTCTGGCAGTACCAACTGGACCTCAATGTCCTGTCCAAAGTCGTAATCATCAATGTCGAATGTTGGACCTGGCAGCCACAGAGGAGCCATAGGTTGAGCTTGCGTAGTTGATGCAAGTTCTGGAGAATTAACCTGGCTTCCAGAACCCCTTACCGTGATCGATGGTGACGTCGGATTAGGTGATGGGCCAAAGGGACTTGACAACGGGGTGGGAGACGGGCTTGACATTGCAAAGGCGAGCATGTCATGCATGTTGCTAACCTGGACTGAAAGTTGACCAACCTGTTCGCTGCAATGAGGCTGAATCAGCTCCCAAGGATTGATCTCTCTTTGATCCCAGCAACAACTTACGAGAGCAGTCCATTTTCCAGCCAGGTTAGCATCTGAATATGCCGTGACAGTTCTGCTCGGAGGCCTTCGACCACGACGCCTTTGGTGGTCCACTCGATCGTCTGGTAAACTGTCTTGAATGCTTCGATCCATTGAAGCCAGGCAGCGTCTGCTCCAGTGGCCGCTCCCTTTCTTTTCACAATGTGCTCATACCTCGTCGCGATCTTTCTCAATTTCCTGGTCGTCTCTGCACACTGTTCAAGCATACCCTGGATATTGCTCTTCACGTCAGCATGGTCCTTCAAAATGGCACCATGCCGGCGTAGTCTGCTCGCAGCTATCCCCACGCATGATTGGTATCGGTCTGTCTCCTGGATAAAGCGCCTGATCTCGTATGGGGCATGCGCAGCAGCGTGAAGTGTCTTTGCTGCCTGTGTGGTGATCTGAACCAAAGCAATAACATCTCCTACGCCGTTTATAGCCATAGAACGACAAAGATTGGGGGAGGTTCCCAAACAGAAGCAATATTCCCTGGAGAATGTCACCTCCAAAAGCCGATGCCGTCAAATGGATATGGAGAGACTCCATGAACGGTCCTGCCCCAGGAGAGTCATCAGCATAGTCATTCTTGTCAGTGGGTGAGGCGAGGTTCAGAGCTCGTCGGCAGCCTCCGCGCGTGGCAGAGGGTCCTGCACGAGCCTCGAATCTGCCAACATGTTCTGCTTTGATGAAGACGAACAAATCGGGCCAATTGGAGGAGGCATGAAAGAAACGTGGGCAACGAGTGAGCCTTGCTACTAGCACTTCGCGCTAGATAAAATCCAGAGATAGCGACAAGTAGTGGAGAGGCGCCAACTTGTGAAACATGGCAACGGCTGTGTTGTTCTTCCTGGCTCAATGCGGAACAGACTGATTCAGAGGAACCTGGGATCCGGTCAGTCAGTGTATGTGACAGGGAGCTCAGGCATTGTATTGACCCAATGGTGTCTGGGAGTCGGGCGCGTGCAGCCGCAGGGTTCAGGGGCTCATCCAGAATCGCATAAGGCTGGCGTGGCTGGCAGATGACTCCCAGGGTACGAGGTAGATGGTCTGTATCTGCATGCTGCGCCCCAAGGCGAATCCCCTGGGTGTTGGCCTTGGAAGCGAGGCCAACGACGGCCATCCCTCTTCCAGCGAAACTAATGTGGTTGGGCCATTCGCAAGGCGAACTCAGCCTGATTGAGTGCTTTTGAATCCTGCGCCATGTACCTTTTGCTTCCCAAGGTAAACAGTGATCCTCGCCATGGTTTCGATGTGATTTACATCTGCGCAATACACGAATTCGCTTGCTCGTGGTCCTTCGATCTATCATCGGTAGATTGTGTACGAGTCAGAGCTATCCATCATGGTCAAGAGGCATAAAGCCTTTCGAGACCTGGAGGATGAGTATAAGCATATACAGGTAAGTTGGACTTATTGAGTTGTGCTATACGCCGTGTGCATTCCAGACGCTGATGGACGTTGCACAAGGATCCGACTCTTCGCCGTCGTCTCATCTTACGGGATATCAATGAACGGTCTTTCAGCCGCGCTCATGTTCGCGCTATCCTGGTAGCGGGGACTGGCTTCCTGACGGACAGCTATGATGTGCGAAGTTGTCACCAGGACTGGGTCGGAGTACACTGACATTCCTCCAGATTTTCGCCATCAATCTGGTATCTGACATGATGTAAAGCCGTCTTCTCATTACTTCTGTGACGCACGACTCCTGTCCCTCAAGCCGCCCTGTCATCTGCGCAGGCTAACAGAAATTGTGCAAGTGGATTTTGTTACTTCCCGAAGCACGGGAACAAGATTCCTCAGGTCGATGATACCCTGATCAAGGTCATGACCTCTGTTGGCACCATCATCGGCCAATTGTTCTTTGGTTGGCTTGCCGACAGGGTCGGGAGAAAGCGCATGTATGGGTATGAATTGCTGATCATCGGGCTGGCAACTCTCGGCCAGTGTATCACCGGTCCTTCGTCAGCAATCGGCATAACAGGCTTGCTGGTGTTTTGGAGAATCCTCATGGGTATTGGCATTGGTGGCGATTACCCTCTTGCCAACATCATCACGTCCGAGTTCGCTTCGACCAAATGGAGAGGCACGATGGTTGCCGCCGTGTTCTCGACCCAGGCTCTTGGTCAGTTCATTGCCAGCTTGGTTGCCACGATTGTCATTGCATCATTCCGAGATCAAATTGACAACGACGACAATGTCTGTCAGGACAGTGTCTGTACTCAAACTCCTGCTGCAAACCTGGCCGTGGATAGAATGTGGCGCATCATCATCGGTGTCGGCGCCGTTCCTGCGGCGATCGCACTTTATTACCGTCTGACCATCCCTGAAACACCTCGATACACCTTTGATGTGAATCGTGATGTGGAGCAGGGGTTTGCCGACTACAAAGGATGGGTTCAGAACACAATTGGACCCAGAACTGGACAAGGAGAAGTCGAGGATGAGCGAAGAGAGATTCGCGCCGGTCTGAGACCTGGTGAGACCCTAGGCGGCCTTGACGCCACCGTTGTACCTCAGTCGTCATGGAGCGACTTCAGGCGATACTTTCGACAAGGTTTCAATGGCTGGATTCTCCTTGGAACGTGCGGGTCGTGGTTTTTCCTGGATGTGGCCTATTATGCCCTGGCCTTGAATAACACTATCTTCCTCCAAAAAATGGGATTCGGGTCTCACAACAACAGCGACCCTACACGGCTATACACGATTCTCCGAAGCGGTGCGGTTGGCAATCTGGTCCTGGTGGTGGCTGGTGCTATACCCGGCTCCATCTGCGCAATCCTGCTTGTGGACCGTATAGGGCGCAAATCGATTCAAGTGGGAGGGTTCGTCATGATCACCATCCTCCTCTTGATCCTCGGGAGTTCCTTCGAGAGCATGTCCGACGCATCGCGGGTGGCTGTGTTCGTCCTGATCCTCTTTTTTGTCAATTTTGGTGAGTTATATTGGCTTTCAACCCGTCCTGCACTCTTGATTGATATTTTTCGAAGGCCCCAACTCCACAACCTTCATTGTGCCGGGTGAATGCTTCCCAACCAGGTACAGAAGCACTTGTCATGGACTGGCGGCTGCCTCTGGCAAAGTCGGTGCTGTTCTCGCTCAAGCTCTGACAGGACCGTTGCGAGGCATCGGATTTGAAAAGGGCGAGACCGACGCATCACCATGGCTTCCTCACGTTATCCAGATACTAGGTGCTTTTGCACTGTTGGGTTTGCTCTGTTCCTTTCTCATCCCGGAAACGATGGGGCGGTCGCTTGAAAGGTTGGCTGGCGAAGAGCCTAAAGCACTCGAAGGTGAAGAAACGAGCGACGACGAAGATGGACATCCGAAGTCGCTGCGTGAGTTGATGTGGGTTTCATGCACGCCTCTGGTGCTGTTTCAGTGGCTTTTCCGCAAGCGCAACCACACAGCTGAGTATGATGATATTGATGCCGGTGAAGGAACGTTGACAGAGCCGCGAATTTCGTTGTCAAGGATGGGGCCTGGCGATGAGACGTGCGCCGTGAGGTCCAGTGTCTCCAAAAGCCACCAGCCCAGGCAGCAAGATGATGGAGGGCTAAAGATACTCGAGACTGAGATCGACAGGATATCTGGGGAAAGCTTTGACCAAAGAGTGCATGATGGTGGTGGTGACGATGATGCCATTCGGCGGATCAATTGAGAGGCGAACTGCGCAGCCTCCATTTTGAGAGACTTTTATTACAGATTCTAGAGTTCTACCTTGAGAGATGATATATGATCTGCGAGCAAACTACCTAATTCCTCATAATTAGTACCACCATACCACCTATCAAAGCCCGGGAGAACGCTTCGCCTGCCAAACTTACTCCATCTCCTCGTATACCAAAACCCTCATTACATCTCGCCCCCACGTGGCACATCACATTAGCCCTCCAGCCCATGAAACAAGTCAAATGCCTGTCCACCAACAACTTTCCTAGAGTCGACGAGTCTGCATTGGCGTCTTTTTGACCACCAGGTCTCAGTGTTCATGGCGATAGCACCCAGCGTAAGAGCCAACCGCCATGCATGGGTTTATCATCCCGCTATAAACCAGCCACCACTCCTGACCCGTCCCCAGCCACAAGTCCATGTCATGCCAGGGCAACGAAGTCTACAAATGGTGGCGGTGACTAGGACACGGGTTACACGGGCAGCGCTCCCCAGAATCCGGCTGTAACCAGATGTTTTTTCAGCCTGATCTCACAAGCCCTTGTTGATAATGGACCTTTACTCGAGGCCTTCGTCTTTTGTGCACTTTCTTCGGGCATCAAAATGGACGAAGAGGAAGGATATCTGCTCTCCCCAGCTCCGACTCGTGGCAGGTCTCGTCTACCCTACAACTACCCAACATCCGAGTCGTCAAGTACCACCCGCCGCTCCTTAGTCGATGGCGAGGATTCCTTGCGTCACTCATTCTCAGCCGGTCAACAGCCACAGACCAGCAAGTCATATTACTCACTCTCTTCGATTGATGTTGACGAGACGCTTTCGTCGCATTCTACCAAGGCGACAACGATTAAGCCACAACCCAGAGCACGTACCTGGAATCCTGCCACATGGTTCCGACGAGTCGACCCATTGAAACTCGCAGGTTGGAGATTCGGCTCCCTTTTAGGATTCGTCCTGTGTGCCGTCGTCCTGGTTTGTAACCTTGTTCTCCTCGCCGTCGGATGGTCTAGGGCCAGTAGGACCAGGGGTATGGGCATTGTCTCTAGTGGCAGCGCAACCGAAGTCGCCTGGCTGGGAACCTTCTCTCATATTCTCATCAACGTTTTCAGCACCGCTCTACTTTCAGCAAGCAACTATTGCATGCAGGTTATAACAGCACCTACACGGGAGCAGGTGGATGCGGCGCACCGTGACGGCGGATTTGTCGACATTGGTGTCCTGAGTCTTCATAATCTCCGCTACGTGGGTGTCTGGAGACAGATACTTTTCTGGACACTCGCGATTAGCTCGCTCCCTCTCCATCTATTGTGGGCCGACCTTTGTTCCGATATTATACTTTGGAGTTCCACATGAACTGACCAGCAGCAGCTACAACTCGGCCGTGTCTGACGTTCTGGGTGGCCGAGCATTCACTGTCACTACTGTTGCCAACACCAGCCTGCCTACATTTCTTGCGAACCACGACCATAGTGCCTATCAATCTATCTCTAATGAGCAATGGGCTGCAGCATACAGCACAAACCCTGTCACCCAGTGGGGCAACCTCTATCTTTTCGTCGATGCCTACTCCTTCGGCATCAATTATGACGTGGAGACTGCTCGGACCTGGCTCGAAAAAGCATCACTAATGCCCCCTGCGTACTTCGGTCTAAGCAGCCAATTGATCGTGCCACTGACGCACTATGCTCGTGAAAATGCGTCCTTGTTCCCCCATGTGTCTCTGCCAGGGCCGTACTCGCCTGACTTTCAGAATTCGCCGGGCTTCACACGGTCAGCCACATACACTCTCGCGGATACGGGTTGGCTTTATTATAGCGATGTGACTCTGCATGTCCAGACTGCCATGGCAGAACACGTCTCCGACTCGAGCAAGGTCGAGATTTCCCTTATCTTTATAGGAATTGTAGTGTTTTGCAACGTTGCCAAGGTTTGCGCCATGGGCGTTCTTGTGAAGCGATGGCGGGCGCAACCTCTTGTGACTGTTGGCGATGGGATAGCGTCCTTCTTGGATCGACCGGACTCCACAACGATCGGCTGTTGTGTCGCGACGAAGAAGGAAATCCTACAGCGTATTCGGAGCAAATCAACAAAAGCAGCTGACCCCGATGGCGTCAAATTGGTCTGGTCGTCAACGAAGTTCCAGCTAAGAAAGTCCATGAGTCGACGACGTGCGAGTGTTTTCCTGGGCATGTAAGTCCTTGTTTCGATACTTTCTTCCTACCGGACACACTGTTGGTTTCCACTACTGACCCATGTATGCAGTCTACTAACACTTTGGTGGACGACCTTCGCCTGCTTGATAGCCGCTTTCTTGAGAAAACAAAGCGGAGGACTTTGGCATTGGGGCACAGCTTCGGAGCTGACTCTCAAAGCCACATCGTCCAGTTTCGATCTCAAAAGCATCATGATCAACACTTGGCTGGCGAACTCACCTCAAGTTCTCCTTTCGGCATCCTACTTTTACACCAACAGCCTGCTGACGACCATGTACTCTGCTCACGAATGGAACGAGTACGGCGCTCACCGCAAGAGTCTCCGCGTCTCGACACCCGAGGGACGGCAACGAAGCCAGCACTTCCTCCAACTGCCGTATCGTATTGCAGTTCCTCTGACAGTCTATTCGGGAGTCCTGCACTGGCTTCTTTCGCAAAGCTTGTTCCTTCGACGAATCGAGTTCCGCGACGAGGCCGGTGCCATCATGGTCGATTCATCCCTGTGTACCTGCGGCTACTCACCGCTTAGCCTGCTGATATTTGCTATTGTGCTTTTCACCGGCTCCATTGTCGTCTACGTCACTTGTTTCTTGACCTTCAAGCAGATACTTCCGTTCGGCGCCAACTGCAGTCTCATCATCAGTGCAGCATGTCATCCCCCGCCAGACGACGTCGACGCTCATCTCAAAGCTGTACAGTGGGGGGTGGTGCAAAATCGATTCTCTTCTGGCGAGCAGGCTATTCGCCACTGCACATTTACCAGTGAGGAAGTGACGCCGCCAGAAGATGGAAAAATGTACGCTTAAACCTGTAGATTCAAGGGTTGTTCAACCATCGTGGACTCGTCACCGCATAGCGAACGACGAGCTGCGGGACACACTTGGTAAAAAGACAAAAGCTAGAGGGTCTCTCAAAGTACCTACATAAATTCTCGGTGGGAGGGTGGTGACTTGTCATGCAGATTACAACCAAGATGAAGCATAATCTGGGTGGCAGTGGAGAGCCTCGGGGGATTTGTATTGAACGCGGAAAACTTTCCCTTTTCGGGAGAAATCGTAACACCCTCCCTCATCCCTCTCCACCTTTCGGAACCAAGATGCGGGACTCTGGGGAGGATTCCGTTGTCGTCGTTCGACATCCAGCATCCAGTATCTTCCACGTTAAACAGCCTCGCAGCACTCTTTCAAGTTGATTGACATTCTCAAGCACGGATCCCTTGAGATACCAGCTCCTTTCATTGAGACTGTGATTTTCCTAACCTCGACGTTCTTCTCGGCCCTTTTTTTTTTCTTCGTCTCTGGAATTGTGGTGACGAACCCCGCCAGGAAAGATGAGCCAGATTCCACCAGGTGCGGATTCCTTCTTCCCTCCTTGCGTCAGACTATAACTACTGTCATCACCAAACTATTCACTCGAATTCGAAAAATCACACTTCAATCAATCATTTGGAACTACGGTCTAGCTAACACGAAGAGGGACGATATCGAAACAGAAGTTGAAGCGCATCATAAGATCATGCGGGAGACATTGTATGCCTACCTCCTACCCTCCCACCGTTCTGTTCTCTTCTCTCCCCTCCCCTCCAATCCAACCCACGCCTGTCGTCGACCCTAGCGTTTGAGCAATCACCATCGTTTCCATTTTTTGCATGCACGAAGATGCAAGCATATGTACGCTTTTAAGCTAACCCTCCGGCGCAGCTTCGCAACGACGACCCCGCTACTCACACCCCTGAACGTGACGCTGGTGATCCTGATCCTCACGCTCTTGTACCTGCGGCTGCGGCCACAATCGACCCCGTCCCTACCCCCGGGCCCGCAGCCGATCGTCTTCCAGACCTTCACGCCGCGCACCCTCCTCAAGAACAACGGCACCGCCAACAACCCGGTCTACCTGGCCGTGCGGGGCAAGGTGTACGACGTCTCGTCGGGCCGCAACTTCTACGGGCCCGGCGGACCGTACGAGAACTTTGCCGGGCGCGACGCCACGAGGGGCCTGGCCTGCCAGAGCTTCGACGAGGATATGTTGACAAAGGACCTCGATGGGCCGTTGGATCCCTGTGACGACCTCACGCCCGAGCAGTTGGACAATTTGAACGGGTGGATCGAGAGGTTTGATGAGAAGGTGAGTCAAATCCATCAATCAATCAATCATTTCGAGCACCCTGGCAAAAATACACACACACACACACACACACACACACACTCACTCACTCACTCACTCACTCACACATTTATATGATGTCCGGAGAAGAGAAGAGATTCGCTGCTTTGAGATGGATATACTAACAAATTTTTTTACAATCCAGTACTTGGTGGTGGGCAAATTGGTACCTTTCAAGAAGACCGACTTCCATTAGTCTCACTATACTCAGGGCGTTCGAGGTATAGGACAGCACCTAATACTGGCAAATACAAAAGAATGTTCTGATACTAGCATGTCTTTTTTCCCTTTCATGAAATTTGCTATCTGCTATCGTAGCTCAAAAGCTCTAAACGTACAGTCTCATAAGTTGTTCATCAGCCAAACTCATGCCATGGTCCTTTGTTGATAGTCCCTTGCCAACCAACTCCTAGGATCCTTGTGTCGCCACTGGATGACAGCCACCTCCATCTAGGGTTATTCATCATTCTTCCACCCACGCTTACAATTCGCTTTTGGCACTCGTGGCACTCTTGGAGGCAACGCTGGCTGCCGAGCTGGCCGACTTGGATGCAGACGCAGACGCAGTCGCACCGGCACCTTGAGCTTGTCCAAGAACCCATTGCAACCCACTCTTAATTCGCTCAAAGATGGTTCCCGAAGGAGACGATGTTCCGTATTTGAAGTAGTTGTATTGCTTCTTGGCTTCGGCGCGAAGCTCGTTGGTGGTCGAACCCTGATAGTTGGGGACACCATAGCTGTCGAGGTACGATTTCAGCTCACTGTCGGACCAAGTATCAAAAGCAGTGTCCTTGGCGGAGTCTGTCTGCTTAGCAAGGTAGCTGGTGACGGATGCGTATTGGGTTCCGCCGCTCTTGGAAGCAGAGGCGTAAGAGTCCTGCGCCTGTCTGATCAAGTCATCACGACTGGCCTTGGCGCTCTTCTTGTATTTCTTGCTGTGAGCCTCAAGATATTTCTGGAGGTTCTCAAGAGTCCAAGTGTCAAACGTCCACGCCGACCAACCAGTTGCAGCCTTGTGCTTGTTCAATCGAACCTGCTTCAAGAGCTCGTCCCGCTTACTGCCTTGAGGCACTGGAACACCACGTGAATCGAGATAAGCCTTGAGACGTGAATCAGACCATGAATCTACCGCCGTGTTGAAAGCGTCATCGGCCATGAGAGAGGCGTCGTCGGTTGCCTTTGCGAACTCATTACCAGCTGATGAAGTCGCAGCACCGAATCCGGAAGCGGCTGTGCTAGAAAGCGAGGAACCGCTTGCTTCGAGCTTCCCACGTTGTTTGCGCGCCAATGCGATGAGTTCGTTCTTCCTGCTCCCTTGTGGGACGGGGACTCCATGAGTGTCAAGGAATTCTTTCAGCTGGCTATCAGACCAGGCATCGAACAGAGCATCACTAAGGCTGGCTTGTGCGCTGGAAGCGGATTTGCTGGCGATGGAGCTAGCGCTGGAGTAGGAAGCACTTGCAGCAGAGGCGGCGGACGACATGTTGAGAGAGGCCAGTCGAGAATTGCGGCGAACGTGGGCGATGAGCTTGTCACGAGTGGTGGGCTGTGGAACAGGGATACCACGCTCGTCGAGGAATTCCTTGAGATCGGATTCGGACCAAGTCGAGTAGAGCCAGTCACCAGGGTAAGAAGCGTACTCTCCCAGTTGTTTTGCAACAGTATCGTAGTGCTGGCGGGCGGTAGTCAATAGAGTATCTCTGGTTCGTGGTTGAGGAGCAGGGATGTTGTGGTGATCAAGGAAGCTCTTCAGAGACGATTCAGACCAGCTGCTGAAAGTTAGCGAGGGTGACAACCAAGGAGCAGCCAAACCCTTACCTGTCAAAGATCCAGTCCTTGACACTATGATAGCTATCACTAGTCTTGTCCCCAGTCGTAGCGACAGGGTCGACCACCTTAGCCTGCCAGTTGTCTTTGACGAGGTTCTCGAGGTCTTTTCTGTCTGCAGGAGTGGGATAGGGGACATCGTGATCGGAGAGCCATCGCTCGAGTTCGGTCTCATGCCACTTGTTGTAAGCTAGGAAAGAAGGTCAGCCGCGTTCTTCTAGGTCCATATGGACTTTGTCCATACCAGCTTTGCTGAACCAAGTACTGGCAACAACTACCTCAGTCGAAGCCAGAGCAACGACCAGGATTTTGGAGAGGGAGAACCTCATGGTTGCGGGTGTAGACGGGGTGTTTTCTGGTAGGCAATAGAGGTTGAGTAGAGACAGAGAAGAAGATTGTGTGAACCAGGGACTTAAAAAAGGTGGAAAGAGAATGAGTTTTGGCAAAGTTGACAGATTGAATGTTTGTGCCAACCTTGACGTCAGAGTTTGTTCACCGTCACCCCGTTTTAATGGTTCGATGAGCGGTGATGAAGAAGGTGAGAGGTGAGGCAGAAGTGGCGCCACAGGCAGGTGAAAGCCAAGGCCACATGCTGTCAGGCACCGAAGATTTGCACCTTACCAAGTACGTTCAGCTACTTTTACTGGATGCCTACCTACTGGCCTTCATTTTTCCTTACCCAGCAACACTGTGTGCCAGTCAATTGTGGCGGGACATGAGTCCGACGAAACAAAGCAGCTGCAGAGCTCCAGGTGCGTGACGCCAGCAACTGACGCGATTCGTGATGCGGGGAAAGCGACACACGCGAAAACTCAGCCTGACGTCACGACTAGCTAGTGCGAAAAACAAATCCGATGCTTGTGGCGCAGGCACTCTTTGTTTCGGGCGCAGGACAATAATTCTAGGACAGAAGGCTCGATGTGTCTATCTGGATAGTTGTCTCGAGGGCTAAAAGAAACCCTCGACCTTTGAATTGTAATATTCAAGCAAGTAGTCCTCCAATACCCATTCTGCAGGTCAAGGAGGCGTCAGGGCCAGGCAAGGCTGGAGCGCCTCATGAGGAGGACAATCAATAGGCTTGGCATCTAATGAAGTCATCAAGTCGACGCAATGCATCAGAGGATCATCAGTGGCACTCGTCAAGTTTTGAAAGCATTTTGACCTTGACTTTTGGTATCTCACTGAGCTATATCGTTTGTGATCTTCTATTGTCAAGAAATTGTAGTACCATTCACCAAAGCCTCGTTAAATCAACCACAATGCAGCCCGTCCTTCGTATGGCCGCAAGGCCAGTCAGAGCTCCTCGCCGTCTTCCAGCTCTTTCCTATCCAGCACATCCACGAAGATTCGCACATCAGTCTTATGGGAACGAGCAATCTGGGATGCAGCAGGGCACCAACCAGGAAAACCCAAAGTCCGACATGGAGCATCCTGGCCCAGAAGCTCCTGCAACTGGCAAGGGCGGAAGTTCATCCTCAAGCCAGGGGGCGAGTCCCAAGATCCACAGCCCCAAATCAGCCGCGGAGGACAACGACCCGGAAGTGCGGAAGCATAACGAAGAACTGGAACAACGACACGAGAGGACAGTAAACCAGTTGAGTGAGGACGATAACAAGGTGGACAAAAAATTCTGGAAAGGTTTGTCTTCTTTGCCCATGCTTGTACAATGTGGTATAATCTAACCATATCAGGCGATGTTGGACGTCCTTCAGAGGACAAAAAGTAGTGAGGATCCAGCTGGCTCGAAGAGGCGTGACATACAATACGCATCTAGGCGTGAATCGTGGTGCCGGAACTGAGACCGCACCAGGTGTTCAAGGCTCTCAAAAGCACGAGTGAAGCCCAGCTGGGGAATCGATTTTTTCCGTGAAATCGCCTCTGTAGATAAGGCCTGGAGAGCACACTGAAAACACCTTGTCACGAAGGGCATGTCTTGCTCGAAGATGTCAGCAAGAGGGCGTTCCTTCTCCAATCAATATGAACGCACAGGCACACTCATAGTTCAACAACTCCCTAGCGGTTAAGAGCAGTCAGGGGATTTGTTATCACCTGAATGACTTAAAAAAGGGTTTTCGTCTTGTATTCCTTTGGTGTTTAGCAGAGCAGATGTATTTTGACTTGCAATAATATGCACGCTCTACCCTTTCCTGAGAGCAAGGATGTCGGCCAGGCGTACTTGGCCTCGCTGTCCCCAGCCCGCTTGGCCTTGTTCGACATCCGGCCGAACACGGGTGTACCACACCTGTGCTCTCTGGTCAAGTTGTTCCGGGCTCAGTGTGGACGCCCAGCTCTTGCAAACTGTGTCGATGGCTTTAAGTGTCATAGCCGCAGCTTCCTCTCTCTTACTTGCCATTTCCTTTGGTGTTTTCTTCTTTGGGATTGGCTTCTTCGCTGTGGTATCTACGGCGTCTGTGGTGCTGGACTCGACAACAATCATGGACTTGAGAAGGTAATTTCGAGGCGAAAGAGGTTTGTGTATAGGAGGACCGGTAGGACTCTTGATATCTTTCCCTGCAATCAGTGGCCCATTGGACTTCCGAAGTGCCTCTAGATCAAGTCCCCAAAACGCAATGTTGGGAGCAGATGTCTCATCTTCAGCAGATGCAGCCACGTGTCTTCGCATTACTGCCACATCACGTCCCATTATATTGACTTTAGGTTGGCCCAAGGCCCAGCCATCCTCTTCCGCAGTTGGCCCCGTAGTCAAGCCAAGGTATTTGGCTTTGCTCTGCGCACCTGCGCTCACAACAGCTTGCGCCAAGCTCCAGCGACTCGAGAGAGGCTGTTCGGGGTGTGTATATGCAAGGACAGCGATAGTGAAGGCCAGGAAAAGAGGAGCGCGGTTCGTCTCAATAGTGGTATTTTCTAGCTCGGCAATGGATATGTCTGTCTGAGGAAGTGCAAGGGAGTCCTCATCATTGAGGGCGTCTTGGTCTGTCTTCGTGCGCTTTGAGGCTGAGGAACTTGACTGCGCCGCAGATCGCTTTTTGGGATTGGAAACACGCTTGGCTGCGTTGATCACCTGCTTCAGCACCTTCTCATCAGCAAAGATAGATTTGAGGTCAGTCTCATTGGCCTTGGAGATGTTCTCTGGCGTATTGAGCTGTTCTTTCCGAAGAGCGTGGATCTTCGGCATGGCTTCTGCCAATGGTATGCGGGCATCTTTGGTCAAGAAACGCAGCAAAGCCTGCACTTCGGCCGCAGCAGTCATGCTGTATGCTACTTGACGGGCCAGATGTACCACATATGATTAACCCCTGAGGCACAAGGCGACGTGCAACGCTGGCGATATTCGCGCAGCCCTGGTTAAACGATTGCAGTATCAGAGAACGAAGGAGATCGACACCGATGAACACCGGTGAACGGTCGTAAAGTCAGCCAAAGTATTATGCGAGAGGCCTGATACCGCTGCCACTTGTCTCAAAGTGAGCATGATCGATGGGATTGCCAAGCCGACTAACCAAAACTAGCACGCCATTGGCCAACAGCCAAGACCTCAAGGGAATGGCAACGGCAAGTGCAGACTGAGTCTAATGAGACCTCCTGTTCCTGCTGCTTCTTGTTCCGCTCTCACAGTTCATGCTCATCCGACCAGTTCAACATCCACCACCCTCACCTTACCCGCAGCCACGCCTCCGATACCTTCTTTCCCACGTCAGACATCGATCTATAATACGTTCCAATTGTCCACCGCCTTCCTCCTCCCCTCAATTGCCTGTCTTCGCGTCTCCGGAGCCGGCCTCCTAAAAAGGTGGCGCAGCGCCCATGGCGCGACGACCTCCTTCCAAACGATCGACATCGATGGACGGTGATACCACGCCGCGAAGGTCATCAATAGCAACGTCAAATCCCAATGTCTTCAGTGATGATTATGCGGTCGACCCTGCCGAATCAATAGGCGCTTCAAGTCCGACGGACTCGATTGACAGCCGACCTGAAGAGCTGAGCCTGAGCCAGCGCAATGACACAAACACCAATCCGCGTGAATACACCCCTCCTGGACTGTCTGGAAATACAATGGGACTAAACAGACTTTCCATCTCTAAACGAGCCCTTCCAACCGAGTCCTCCGCCCACCCCCACCGAGCCGTATCAATCTCGTCCCAATCCATCGCCGACAGCCGAAGAACCCTCAGCACTTCGTCACGATTTTCCATCCCACGAGCTCAAAGTCCTTACAGAGGGCCAACGGCTCCGAGTCAGCCCTATGGTCTATATCCCCAAGTTACAAGAGCGTCTAGTGTTGTCAGCGATTCGACAATTCGGCCTCTGGAACTTCCCTTTGTTCCACAAGGGGGGCCAGAACACCCGTACTCTATGTATCCCCAAAACACAGTGCCTGAAGATGACAGTTCGGACATTGGCTTGGGATTTCCTGGGATGGGTCCATCATATGCGCCGCCAGACACATCATCTTCCAGCAATGAAGTGGGTGACATTGTTGGCAGTGATGGACATATCGAGCAACTACCTCCATACAGCCGATATGCTGACAACGTCATCGCAAAGGGAGACATGGCTCGGATAGACCCGCAGACCTCGACCATCACGGAAGAATCGGAGCCTGCCTCCAACGTCCCACCACCTGCGGGTTCTGCTTCAGATGTTGAATTAATGGCCGTGGGCTCCCCTTCTCAGGACGAAGTTGCCAGAAAAGAAGGACTCCACGAAAAGCGACGGCGGAGGACATGCTGTGGGCTACCTATCTGGACGGTCGTGATTGTTGTTGCCATTGTCGTGCTGGCAGCGGTAATTGGTGGGGTTATTGGCGGCGTCGTTGGGAATCAACATGGGACACACCAGGCCGAAGCGTAAGTTGGCTAACCCACCGTCGCCTTGGATTCTTTTCTAACTGCTCCAAAGTGCCGCAACCACCACAGTCTGGCTAGACGCTGACCCCGCTCAAACGGGTCCGTCGACACCACCGTGTCCGACAGGCCATTATACCATCCCCTTGAATCAGACACAGCAGATTGATGCGTGCGTCATCGATGACGAGTATGCTCGTGCATGGGAATGCCTGGATTTTGCCCTACTTGGGGTTAATGTCTTCAACAAGGGCCCGAATTTTTCGGTGGTGTTCGACGACTACTCGGTGAGGCCACAATTGTTCCGATACGGACCACAACCTCCCGATTTCAACGGGTCAACTTTTGAGATGCAACCATTCAGAGACAAAGAGGACGATCAACTTGGTATCGCGCTCTTTTTCAGTGTTTTATTCGATAAGCTGATTATAGGTGGGCACTTATTCTACTCTTTGCGATCAACAAATACTGACTCGAGTGAATAGTTCCGTCAAATCAAATCTCTCCCGACTCCGACCCCATGAAACGATCGATACCTGCCCAAGAGTTGTCTGAAAGAGGCATGGGCAACTGGGGTTTCGAGTACCTCAGCGTGGGAGACAAGCCCTGGTACTGTTTCTGGAACTCGACCGTCAGCGAATTCTGGGTATTTTTGGACCAGAACATGAATGACGCGTACGACATGTATAGTTCGACGTCTACAATTACATCTGGATCCAGCACGCCGACCAGCACGGGGACGTCAATGACACATACTGCGCCTGGATACGGCAGTGGGCCCACAACTGCGAATCCGTCGGCCACCACGCCGTATCCCAGTGAACCGACTGACGATGACTACTGGCCCGGCACGAAACTGAAACGACAGGCGACGGTGGGATCGCCGGACTTCCCCAAACTTGTGAAGATGGTGGAGAAACGGAAGCCTGACAACAATGTGCAACCTTATTGCCAACAGATGCAAGTGCTCAACAATTGGCAAATCATGCCGATCCCTAATGTGCCTACCGTCTGCATCGAAGAGAGTGACTATGGGACGCCGACGTCTGGGGCCGACAGCAGGAGGAGGATGATGTCCAAGCGGTCATACAACACGGTAGATCAGCTGGGATCGAACTGTATTTGCGAGTGGTTCAGTATATAGGCCTCGGATGATGGAGGTCAGGGGGTTGGACTCCTGTGTCTTTTTATGTGTTACGAGGTCACGAGTGCGCTGCTGGAAGGCCTACTGCTTCTGATATTTTCCTTGGAGAAGGATGGTATCCAAGGACGAAGGATATTTATTTATAGGGATATTTTCTGGAATGTATATTTGGGGATTTCTGGTTCTATCTACTGTCTGCACTTTAGGCATGGCGGACGGGGGGAACTGGCAAAAGTGGGAATTATGGTAGAATTTGCGAGTTGGTAGCAACAAGAATTCCGACTTTTAGTCTACATTACTTACCTCGTAGTCAATTATTAGATGCAGTTGATCACCCTTGTGTCACAGTCTGATGGTCCTGATGATCTGACCAAGTGTTTTGGGGATTGACCGAAATGGGATAAAGCCTCCGGAATCTCACTATGACGAATCGATCAGTCACTCAAAGTCACTCAGAGTTTTCCTGTCTGTCAGCCACATGTCGGAGTTAATTATTTTCTTTCCTTCTTTTACCTTGTTCAGGCTGTTTGTTGCGAGCTGAGATGAGGGTTTTTCGGCCCAAGGATTTGCCCGGGAGCCAACGACAGAGCAGTCCCCCCGTTCAGTACCTTTCGCGCATTTTTCTTTTTGCCTGACGGGTGTTTCTATTCTTGGACTGGTCAGTTAGTTAGTCACTCACTCTGTCTGTTTATCGGTTGTTATGTATTATGTATCATGTATTGTGTAGCTGTAGCTGTTGCAGTAGGTGTAGGTGTATCACCGAACTCGATTCCCCTCCTCCTTTCAGCCCCCATTCCCATCCATTCCCCCTCGATCGCATTTCAGCAAGCGAGTATCATCTCCCCATTCATTGACTGATATATCGTTCTGTTCTGTTGCGCTTCGCTCAAGAAAGCCCCCCATAAAATAAAATAAAAAAGAATGGGTGGCCGCCGAAAAGCCCTCCTCATCGGCATCAACTACCTGGGCTCGCAGCACCAGCTGCAGGGGTGCATCGACGACGTCGCCAACGTGGCCGAGTTCCTCGCCTCGCGCGGCTTCTCCTCCCACCCGGCCGACATGGTGGTGCTCACCGACGACGCGCGCAGAAACGACCCCCGCGGCCCATACTTCCCCACCGCGCACAACATCCTCGCCGCCATGCGCTGGCTCGTCAGCGAGCCCGGCTGCATGTGCTTCCTGCACTACTCGGGCCATGGCGGGCAGGTCCCCGACGAGGATCAGGGGAGGAGTGGCTTCGCGGATACCATCGTCCCCGTCGACTTTGAGAGGACCGGCCAGATCCAGAGCTCCATGCTGCATCGTGTCCTGGTGAGCGCGTTGCATCCCAGCAGTACGCTGTTTATCTTGTTCGATTGCTGCCATAGGTGAGAATTCCTGCCACTTGTTTTTCGCGCGCAGTTGTTTGTTGAGCCCAGATCCGCCTTCCATTGGTGAGGATGGGTGCACCCGTGATTGATTCCAGGGTTGTGATGAGGTGAAGGTGAGGAAAGGGATGAGACCCGATGATTTCCATTGTTACCAAGGTGAATATCATATTGAATCAGGACCCCCCTAACTAATTAATCCGATCCCAGTGGTTCCGCCGTCGAGTTGCCCTTTGTCTACCGTAAGTCTCGCTAATTGATATCATATCATATCATGTGTCTATTCATGTCAACCCTTGTACCTCAAAAAATACCCCATGTATTTGACGATTCTAGCACTATTGTCTGTCTAGGATTTCTTGGTTATCGTCTGACATTCTACGCCTCCGTTGCTTTCTGTCCGAGTTTTGGTTGACGCCCAATGCAGGGACCGATGGTGACGGCAATGTCAACCTGATGGACAATCTGAAAGTTGGTGCTGAGCTGATTGGCGAGGTGAGTTCTTACAAACTGTCGAGTCTCCTGTCGGGCATATATCCTGCATCCGTCTCATGTGATGCCCATGTCCCATGTCCATGTCCCCCATTCCACACCCACGGCATGTCCTCGCGCCCACCACTATAGCAAGATTCAGTGCTGATAAATTCCCCCCTTCCTTCTCCCACCTCGACAGGCATCCCACCTCATCCGCGGGGACTTTGCGTTCGACAGCGCGGGCGAGGCGCGCCACCTCCTCGCCGGCGCGACGTCCTTCTTCCGCGGCCTCAAGCACCAGTACGACGGCGACTACGACGAAGGGCTGCACGCCGTGGGCGAGTTTGAGGAGGACTGGGGGCCCGAGAATAAGTCGGTCTTTATGTTTTCCGGGTGCAAGGACGAGCAGACGTCCGCGGACGCGTTTATCAACGGGCGGCATGTCGGTATGTTCACCTTTTCCAGATTTACCCGGGAAATCGAAGTGCAGACGGAGTCGACCTCTGACACTGGAGATGCTTTATTCTGAATCTGTTGACTGCTGGGGCGACTGACTAACTGGGTGTGGTGTGTTGTGTTATGGTGTAGGAGCCATGTCCTGGGCCTTTCTCGAGACCATGAAGACAGACGTCTACTGGAACATTTCCTACGTGCAGGTATTTTCCCCAACCTTTCCCCTCGGCCATTTCTTTCTCTCGTCTCTCTCTCTCCTCAGAGGTGATGAATCCCCGTCAGTCAAGAAACTAACAGACCACCCAACCCTTCTTCTGGGGTTTGTGGATGAAAACAGATTCTGCAAAACACCAGAGCCCTCCTCCAGCAGCATTACTCCCAGGTGCCGCAGCTGTCGTGCGGGTATCAGTTTGATCTGAATAATCCGTTCCGGGTGTGACGATTTTCGATTATGATTACGATTATGAATGGGGATGGTGATGACGGTTACAAGGAGTGATGATGATGATGACGACTACGATGATGATATTGGTTATGTTGAAGAAAAGCTCGATATGAAAGAATTATAAGACGCGGAAACAAACAAAATTTCAGGAAAATCTGGGGCTATCAACGAGTTGTTGAGCAAAAGGTACAGAGGAGTTTGGGTTCTTCAGTGCATCACAGGTGTGGGGAAAAGGATCAACCTTTTCTCGGAGTCCAGGGGTCTAAATGTCCTTTTGAGGGGACCAAGGGGGTGTTTGAATGGTTTAGATATCGATACTGAAACTGAAACTGATACTGATTCTATAATACACGAAATTGCACTGGCGCGTGGGAAGGTGTCTGTCTGTCTACTCATCTGGGTTGCGGTCTACCTGTCTACCTGTCTGCCTACCTAGATACGCACTACGTCCTAGGTATGTAAGTGGTTACTGTAAGTACTGGGCAGAGGGTATTTATAACATATTCACCTCAAGTACCGAGACCCTGGCTAGTTCGAGTTCGAGTACGAGTACGAGTACGAGTGCTGCTCATCCCAAAGCATGTACTCAGCATTGATTGACACGCTATCGTCGTGTGTTCTGTCTACCGTTCATTACATTGAATTGCATTGTATCGTCCGTCTTCCCCCCGAGTCCCCAGTCGTGAAGCACGCCGACATTTGACACGCCCGGCCACACCGGTTCATTCCGACAAACCCTTCCCATCTTTCAGCGCATGAGACATTCAGTATGCGAGAAATATACCCTTACTACGTCACGCCCCCCGAATCCAAAGCATCGGTATCACGCACCTCAATCTAGATCCGGATCTCCAGTGGATGGATCGTACAAGTACAGGTCACTGCAAGGTCATTTGTCGTCAAACCTCATACTAGGCTAGTGTCTGGATTTTCATTGTCGTTGTCGTTGTTATTGTTGTTGTTGTAATCAACCCTCCTACTTCATCATCAAACCCCTGACAAAAACACATTTCAAGGACACGCCAGCAGACTCACCCTTCGTCAAACAAATAGTAAAAATTGTCAAACGGACCAAACGACGCAAGGAATTCGTCAAAGCCCGCGGCGCCTAGCCCGCAACTCTCCAGAACCGTGTGTGCGTGCGTGTGCGAGTGCGAGTGCACGGTGTTGACCTGATCGTCGCGAGCATGAGGAGTGCTTGCTGGCCCGGTCGCCTCCAGTGAACCCACCCCGCAACCCAAGTATTGGACCACGTGCCCTGAACCGGCGTTGAGCACTTTGAGGACTTCGGCGAAGAGGTTCCGGTACATCTCTGCGCTCCAAAAGGTCTTGTTGAGGTGTGAGAGGACCATCAGGTGCAGGTTCATATTATGTCCCGCATGCTGACGAATGATGCCGTCAGATCGAGCAAGCTCAAAAAGATGGATCTGCATAGTGACCACAATGACGGTTACCAGCATTGTAGGCGATGTCTCAATCATATCCTGCGCGATTAGTCTGTTGAGAGTGTTGGTGGAGTCGGCTGCGGCCAGCTTTGATCTCTGAGTGGCCGCCATTTGAAGTCTACTTCGTTCAGCTGGTGACAAGTGAACAGGGGTCGAAAGAATGTAAGGGCGATGGAGCACGATGATGACAGTCTGGCAATAGCATCGGAAATGGCTCATGTGGAGCATCAGGATGCGAGACTGGTTCTCAATGTCGGTAGGAAGACTGTCGAGGAGATGTGAGATATCCGCATGATCAGCCTCCAATCGAGACAACGATAACGGCGGTCTGCTTGGGCGGTAATGGAGAACGAGAGCGTCTTCCAACTTGATCGACAAGCGCAGTAATTTAATCCAAAGGTCCGCCAGAGCACCGAGGTCGGGTGGCAGGAATTTTTCGCGCAGTTCGGGGGTCAGATCTTTGAGATCTTCCAAGACGTCTGGAACCAATGGTAGTTCCAGATCGCAGTCGTCGAGGTGGACGCGCATAGGTCTCCCAGTAATCAAAGAGAGCCAGGCATCACGATAATAGGAGCACCACCACAACCGTCTCCAGAGTGCTAGTTGTGACGGAGGAAAAGGACATCGTGGAAGCCGCGAATACCTGGGTTCCCGATGGAGTCCTATGCTGAAGCAGAGATGGATTGCCGCACCGATCCAGTAGCAGGGCCCGTCCAGATCCTCCAGATCAACGGCCCAGTAGCCCAGGAGCAGCACCGACGCTATTACAGCGGACTTGTTGGTCTCGAGCTGTGCATCATATGTCCTCTAGATGCCGTCAGCTCGCTGTATCTCATCCGTTGGACGCATCTATGTATCTTGCCTTGGCATTCTGGAAGCACAATTGCTTCAGGACCTTCCGAGATTGAAACCCGGCGGTCTTGAGGGTTTCAGCATCAATGAAGATGGATGCAGCAAAAAACACCGACCACAGCAACAGACAGCTGACGCCGTCCGGGTCTTTGGAGTACGTAGTGATAAACTCCCCGGCATTGACGACTGGTAAAACAGGGTAGACGTAGTGAAAGAAGCTTCGAAGGAGCTGCGTGCAGACCGAGGGTGAGAACTGGGGCCTGGCACCGGGACTTATCTCGGGTTTGAACAACTGTCGATTGAGGACGTTGCGACTGATGATATAAGGGCTGCCCTTCACCGGCCGATTTGGGGAGCAGATGTCGAACACGAATTCGAGTCCCTTACCCTCGCCTGAGCGAGAAAGTCAGTACCGACTTACTGTCCAGCCACACCAGAGAGGTTGAGAAATACCGGCATAATAAGGCACAAGGTTGTCCCGAGGGGGCTCAGGTCCGTGGGGCTTGTCAGATATCGACCCCGAAACCGTGGTAGGCGTTTGCTGAGTGCTGACTGGGATCTCACTTGAGGTGTCCGGCCCCCTTTGACCGTCTCGGGACGGGACATGGACAGGACTCTGCTCCGCACTTACGCGGTCCCGGGGGACTGCAATGGGATCCGATGCTTGTTGAAACGTTGCCTCGGTATTGTGTATAGATCTTGGAGATGGCACCAGCGGGTAAAGTGGCCTTGGTGGCAGGGTCGCTTGATCTGGACGGCTATTGTAGTCGATCGGGGGCGGAAGGTGGCCTAACTGATGACCAGGAGAAGACACGGGCACCGCCACATCATGCTGCTGGCCATAGACCTTGCAGATGGTGCCATCCTGAGCACAATTTGCACACGGGATGCCCTGAAAAGCCAGCGAACACCGAACTTTTCGATCGTGGCAGCGCGTGCATGCGATAGCCGAGCGCTTCCTTTTGCGCATCTGTGGTGCCTCCATCACTTCTCCTCATCCCTGTTTTTGTGTAGGGCGGAGATGGGTGGACGTTACACCTCTGTACCGGGGTAACGCTTTTGTAGTCGGCCTCCACCTTTTGTCTGAGTGGAGGAGGGGAGGAGACGGACCTCGGTCAATTGTCCAATGGAGGGAGATTGCCGGAGAAGGGGCCGTCAGGAGCCAGCCAAGCAAAGTGTGAAAAGACAATCAGCTGGGGTGGCACGGGTGGGTGTTGGGCGCGGAACAAGAAATCCTTGAAGCGAGATGGTGGTGACTTGGTGACTCGGTTGGTTGGTGGTTGGTTGATCTGCCTGCGCCTTTCTCTACCTCTGGTGCCTTCACGCGGATCTCATTGTTCAACCCCTGCACTGCCTGCGCTCAACACAAAGCGCGCAGGGGAAAGAGAAGAGAATCCCTATTGCCGCAGATATATGAACAAGCCTTCTCATTGCGGTTCTCTCCGTCGCCATGAGAAGTCCTCCCCTATCCCACCCTACTCACATCGCCCACTCTGCACCCCAGATAGCCAGACAACTCCACCGAGGAAGGATACCGAGGTAACATGTCCACCGGTGCCACCCCACGTCTCTGCACTACACATATATAGGAGTGATGGAATCACCTCGCTCTAGCGTCGGTTTCGTGATATTTCTAGTCTACCTCAGGCCATCCACTAGATAGATTGTTGCATAAATACCAGGAGGAGGCCAGCCGTGGCCTTCTCGTCTCCTCTTTTTCGACCGCCATTGATGATCCTAAGATTGGTTCATCATATCATGCCCTTTTGTTCCGTTGGCATCTTGTGTCTACCGACTTGGAGGAAGCTTTTCTCTTAGATTATGTGCAGATTGTGTCCGTGCTCGCCCAGTCGCTCGCTTCTACGCCACCACTCCAGACTGTCGCAACGTCTCAATCTCCTTGTCCCCCAACTGGAGCAGATCCCTCAGCACCACGTCGGTGTGTTCACCCAACGTCGGAGGGGCGCTACGGACCCCAGCAGCGCTCTCCGAGTACTTGACCGGGTGGCTGACAACCTTGATCTTGCCGCACGCCTGGTGATCGAGCTCGGTGACCATGCCACGGGCACGGACGTGCTCATGGTCCAGGGTGTCCTTGACGTCGTTGATGGCCGCGTAGGGCATACCGCTACCCTCGAGCACGGCCAGCCACTCCTTCGTGGTCTTGGTCTGTGTGATCTTCTCGATCATGTCCTCGAGCACGTCGCGGTTCTTCACTCGCACGTCGTTTGTGACGAAGCGCGCGTCGCTCTTCCACTCTGGCCGCCCCAGTTTGTCGCAGATTATACCGAAGAGTCGATCATTGCCGCCACCCAGCATGATGTCTCCATCCAGCGTCTTGAAACCCTTGTAAGGCACAATGCTCGGATGGGCTGTACCCCATCGCCCACCATCTCGTTCACCCGATATCAGCACCGAGCTCGCAATGTTAGCCAGGGTCGCGACTTGACAATCCGCCAGGGCCACGTCAAGATGCTGGCCCTGGTTCGTCTTCTGGCGAGCCAAGAGAGACGCCATAATGGCGTTGCACGTGTAGAGCCCTGTTGTCAGGTCGGTAACCGCCACGCCCACTTTCACCGGCGACCCGTTCCTCTCGCCTGTGATGTGCATGAGACCCATTTCGGCTTCCACCATGACGTCGTAGCCAGCGCGAGGGCTATAGGGGCCGTATTGGCCGTAGCCGGTTATAGAAGCATAGATTAGACTGATTCGCGGGGCAAAATATCAGTGGACTCTGTCAGTAGGACGAAGAGGGAGGAGGGAGAGAAGTTGTTCCGCGAAAATACTCACCGAGGATTAATCTTCCGTATTGACTCGTAGTCTAGCCGGTATTTTTTCAAGGCCCCTACCAGTGTCATGCAAAGTGGTCAGTTCACGGTGTCCAACCAGGAAACAAATCTCCCATCCATGTTTCGACCATCCCCTTCCGACTGCCGGCAGATGAACAGGGCCACATACCTGGAATGTAGTTTTCCACCAACACATCCGACGTCTTGGCCAGCTCATGCAGGATTTTGATGCCCTCGGGTTGCTGGAACGAGAGACCGACGGATTTCTTGTTGCGGTTGACCTGAAAGAAAGCGAGTGAATCCCTCCACGTCAGCACACGGCGCCCCAGAAATGACAAGCATAACCAGTATGCGCATTGATCAGAGCTAGAGGAACTCACGCCGATAAAATACGCACTCTCCCCAGGTCTGCCACCTTTTGCTGCCGCTACAGTAGTAATACGGCAGAGGTCGAGTCAGTCGATGGCACCTCTTGCGTTGGAGATTTTGGAAAACCGGGGAGGCGAATTGCCCCTCTGCCAGTGGACTTTTCATTACCATCTCCTTTATACTTTGCGTACGGCGGGCCCCAGGCTCTCGTATCATCGCCTCGCGTAGGATGTTCAATTTTGATGATTTCCGCCCTAGACGTTTCGAAGGATCTCGGTCAGCGGCAGAAACCCACATCATTGCATCGGGAACAGATATTTTGGGTGTGCTCGGCTTTTTCCGGCGTTTCCAAGCCCGCAATATGGAGAAGGTCGGGAAATATGATGCCTACCTACCCTAAATCGCCCAGAATTTGTGTGCAATATGGCTGTGAGGTTCAAAGCCCAGCTAGGTCAGTCGTTGCTCCACAATGGTATATGCAGTGTTTCGGCCCCTGACCAGCAGGGTGCAACGCCACTGGGACCACTTCCCAGCATACAGAACTGCTCAAGCTTGAGAGGAAAACAAGCAAAGTACTCACGCCAGCCAATACACGTGTCATGTCCAGCACCCGGACACCTTCCAGCGGTGCAATTTTCCCGGTCTTTGTGCTTGCTGACGAGTCTTGGACAGATGCGAAATATCTCCGCGACTTGACCGATGTCTGAGGTCGGGGTCGAAGGAGGGAGGTGCAGCCACGTTGGCCCGCTAAGGCTCGTCGGAGAGCTCTGCCGGCATCCATGTTGAAGTTACAATGTGGCACGAAGAGTACACAAGGACGATGAACAGGAGAAGGAGTTTGTAGAGTGTCGGAGTGCGGTTGAACTGAGAAATGGTTTCGGACGAGGTTGACGGCGCCGTTGCCGAAACATCGGCTGCCAAGCTCCGAGGCGATTTCTACAAAGAGACTCGTCGCCGCCCCAGGTAGAGGGAGGTGAGGCTGACGAGGCTCAATAACATTCAACAGTCATCTCAAGTCGGAAGATGGTGGAGCAATCATACCCAACAGCATCTCATATACGACCGCTAGAAAAGGTCAACCCACAAAAACACCGAAATCTAGATCCCCCGATCTCTTCATATCATTCGATGGTCGCTATACGACTCACTCGGTTGTGATTCCTTCCTCTTAACGTACAGGCTATAGTTACATACAGATTGTGGACACCACCACCAGACCACTTCGCAACACCTCCAAATCGATAAAAACAGACATTTCAAGTTGCCAGGCGCAAACCTGCAAGGTATCTTGGACAAAAGACCTCCCAATATTTTTTTTCGTAAAATGGTGAAAATGAAAAAGTACACAAATAGCAATTCAACAAAATCCAGTGCGTCGCATAGGGTCGCAGACAAGGTGCGAAAAGGTGGAAAACAAACGCGCCGTCCCAAACAAAACCCCTTGCCAATAATACCCATCGATTCCTTCGCCATCCAGCACCTTCTAATTGATTTCGTGTTATGGTATCGCGGCTCGCGCCGTATTGGAATCCAGTCTTTTTGTTTCCGTAAAATTTGGGGTCATCAGTTGAGAAAGAAAATTTCGCACGCGTGGAACAAGAATGCGCCAGCAGTCGCTCAGCCTGCAGATGTAGAACTCCAGCCTCAGTAAGAAAGGGCCGAAAGTGTGTTGAAGAGGCGACGTAGATGTCGAATGTCCAACCGTGGAGAAAGCAGAATGTCCCAAACCAGTCCTGCTGTTGGTGAGAGCTAGGGGGCTGGGTTCAAGACTTCTCCGGGCTGCTCTCGGTAAGATCCAGATCCTCGATAAAGGCCAGTCGCTCAATGCGAGGCGAGAGGCATTCTTCACCTCCCTCGACGACCGAGGGATGCATCAACGGCTCGCAGGTGCATTCTTCTCCTTCGCTCGCCAGACGATCCGGGTTCTCGTCGGGGTCTTCCACCCAGTAGCATTCCAGGGCACCTGCGGCACAGACCAGTCCGCAAGCCCACCACGCCAGACCGCCGCAGCCAAGTTTCAGTCCAGCTGTGTGAACCAAGCCCGTAACAACGGGCCCACAGGCACGTGCCAAGCATGCCATCGATGCAGCAGTGCCATTGACCCGTCCGAGCACTTTCTTGGAGTAGACAGCATTGGCGAGAAGAATTGCATTCGAAGGAAATGACATTGCTTGAAAGGTCATTTTGGATAGAAGGGCGGTGTAGATGGCGACCTTCTGGTATTGTTCTGGGACAAGCACCAGATATGGCACGGCGAAGTACAGCAGAGGCCAACTGGTCAACGTAAGCCGGGTCACAGAGAGCACGCCAATGCGTCGGACCATGTAGGGGAAGATCCAGAATTGCGCCATGATTGAGTAGGCGCCCTGGACTGCTAGCATGGTGCCGATAGATTTGGCGCTCATGCCGAAGCCTCCAGAGAACAGGAAGGGAAGGACAGGCTTCGTCTGCATGGGCTCTTCGGCAAGAAAGGTGGGCATCAAGGCGTCGAACGAAACGCTATGGCTACAAAGAACATGTCAGTTGCAGCTAGGGGCCAGGTGGGAAGGAAAGAACATGGCACATACTATGCAAGAATCGCGTATGAGAAGATGATTAGTTTCACCTGCCTGTTAAAGGGGTTGGCGAGGCTGCGCACTTCTTTCTCCCGCAGCATCTCCAAGTCCAGCTCTTTGGTGGAGGCTGAGCGCAGAAGCGGCGAGTTTTCCGTACTCCGGTATCCCGGAGGCGGATCGCGATGGTCGAACGGGTCCGCTGGGTTTCCTGAAGCAGAACGAATCTTACCGAATCGCGACAAAAGACTTTCCAGCCCGAGCCGTTGGAGAAT